TTGTGCCTTACTTTATTCACTTATGAATTTGATACTACCACACAAATTCAATTCACATGAAGCTGCATTAAAAAAAAAAAAAAGCTATATAGCCTCCATAGTATTCCACTATACAGATAATACCACAATTTATTTAACCAGTTGTCAACTGAAGGACATTTAAGTGGATTCCAATCATCTCTGCAATGACTTGCAAAGAAGATTCTGATGTACTACAAGCAACAGTGGATAAGCTGCTCTTAGATGCTAATGGGGTTCATCTTATCCAAACCTATTAGTAGTTCCAAAGCATCCATGGAATAAGAAGAAACAATACAATTCTTTAGCTAAAATCAAAGGCTAAAAGTCAGCAAAATAAAACTGCATTTACCTAGAAAGAATTCTATACCATATTAGCTCTTATAACAAAGGTGAAAATGCAAAGAAAAACTTTAAAAATTAAATTTCAATTGCTAACATCCAATTACTGCTGAAGCAACGAAAACTACCAATTGACAATTATGAATTTATCCTCTTTTCTTCAGCTAACTTTAAATTACATCCTCCAGAAAACTTAACTAGAAAAAACTGGGAACCAGTATGGATTCAGTTTTCAAATAAAAAATAGCAAGTCTTTTAAAAAGGGGACAATTGATATGTAACTTCATTGAAAAGCAAACTCATATAATTAGAAGAACTTATTCTTAAAAAGAGGCATTTTCTCCTTAAGGAAAACAGCTCCTAATCAACAGCTGAATGGATGCTGTTAGTCCTTTCCCATTTTTCCTATTTCAGCGCACTAGTTTCACCTTCCTCCAATTTCCTGATGACAAGTGAACCTAGCCCTGGTTCCAAGATAAATTAAAAAATATTTATTTAATATTTAAGAAATGTTTAATATTTAAAAATATTTAAGAAATAAGAGTAAAAATAAAAATAAAACAACAGTTTTTTAAAAAACAGCTTCAGAAGAACACTATATCACCTCAGTAATAAAAACAGGATTCCAACAGTAATAGTAGTATTCCACAGTCGGCAGTGCTATCAGATCAGTTACAACAATGCTGCTGTGGCCTGTGAGCTGCACCTTAGTCCTCCTTCCTGTTTCTAGTGAATTCATTTTCCTGGTGTCTTAGTCTCTGCCTGGGATTGGAAATTCCAGGGTGCGAATTTAGCCTCACCAACTGTGATTAGATTGTATGTCAAGGCACTGTTCTAAATGCCAAATCCAAGAGACAAAAATTCCTTCTCTTAGGGAGGCTGAGTGCCTGACACAGTTGACCAGTGTTTGTCCCTCACATTCTTCATTGCTCTGACCTATACATTTTGGAATATCCTGCTAATCCCTCTGATGCTCCCCTCAGTAGCCAATTGCTGGAATGTAAACAGGCTTATGAAACCCCTGGGCACAGTTCCTTATTTACCTAGCCAAACTCCTGCTATCTAAGCTGCTCTACTAAGCAGAACAAGTGCCAAATTTTTGTCCCTCCCCATCTGATTTGCTCTGCTATGAATCACGGGAGAAGTGATGTCTTTGGAAAGACTGATTAGAGCTGAGTTTGAAGTGTTGCTTCAACTATGATATATCCTACAGCTGTGTTGCCCTATAGGGTAGCCACTAGCCACATGTGGCTACTGAGCACTTGAAATGTAGCTGATTGGAAATCATATGTGCTTTAAGGGTGAAATACACATTGGATTTCAAAGAATCATACAAAAGGGAGGGAGGGAGAAAGGGAGGGAGGGAGGGAGGAAGGAAAGAAATCTCAATAATTATTAAAAATATTGATTAAATGTTGAAATGTTAATTCATATCTTAAATAAAATATATTATTAAAATTAATTTTAGCTATTTCTTCTTACATTTTAAAATGTGGCTACCAGATAATTTAAAATTACATATGTCATTCACATTATATTTCTACTGAACTGTGTTACTTCAGAACATTTAAGTGGGCCAGCTCCGTGGCTTAGCAGCTAAGTGCGCGCGCTCCGCTGCTGGCGGCCCGGGTTCGGATCCCGGGCGAGCACCGACGCACCACTTCTCTGGCCATGCTGAGGCCGCGTCCCACATGCAGCAACTAGAAAGATGTGCAACTATGACATACAACTATCTATGGGGGCTTTGGGGGGAAAAAAGAAAGCAGGAGGACTGGCAATAGACGTTAGCTCAGAGCTGGTCTTCCTCAGGAAAAAAAAAAAAAGAACATTTAACTAATGGCAGCAACAATAGAGTCATTATTTTGAGAGGTGTGCTAGTATATCTAGATATCACTAGAAAAATATCTAAAAATGAAAATTCTTCCTCGCAGAAAAACTGCCAACTAACAAATGTTGAAGGAATGCTTGATTAGATTATCACTATTTTGCAATCCCCATTGAAATAACTGATTCAGGTAGGCCTCATCAATGGATGCTAAGACCAGTGGCAAAGGTTGTTGTGGAAGAGGATATTAATCCAGTGGCAAAATCATGCCCTATAGATTATTTACAAATCGAAAAGACAAGATCTGGTGGTCACTATCTTAAGAAAGGAACAAACTTAGCATATGAATAGTGCTACAACCTGACATTTCATGCCTCTTGATATGTGGTAATATGAGCTAAACATTACCTACAAAGCATTAGCCCAATGATTTGAAAAAATTTTCAAACATACAGCAACAATGAAAGAATTTTATAGTGAAAATCTGTACTCATATCATCTTTTACTATATGTACTTTATCACATATATACCCATCTCCCTATTCATTTAATTTGATGCATTTCAAAGTAAATTGCAGCCATTAGTTGCCTGCAATTTAAATTGTCTAGTAGCCACATTTTAGATTGCAGCCATTGCATGCCCTCCCTAAATAATCCATGAAGTATTCTTGCCAAAAATGTTGAACTTGAATCTAATCAAGCCTCTAATCCTAACTTTCAGTTTACAGGAAATAGAGGGGCTATAGAGGAATAAGTTAATTGACACTAAGAAGAAATAGAAAAACCCAAAATGTGGAACATTCTGTAAGATTAGATGGTTAAAAAGTTTATGTCACAAAAAAAAAGTTTGAGTGACTAGATTTAAGAGTCTAAAGAGACATAACAACTAATTCCAATTTGTCAACCTAAACCAGATATTACTAAATTAAAAAAACCTACAAAAGGGGCCGGCCCCGTGGCTTAGCGGTTAAGTGCGCGCGCTCCGCTACTGGCGGCCCGGGTTCGGATCCGGGGCGCGCACCGATGCACCGCTTCTCCGGCCATGTTGAGGTGGCGTCCCACATACAGCAACTAGAAGGATGTGGAACTATGACGTACTACTATCTACTGGGGCTTTGGGGAAAAAAAGGAGGAGGACTGGCAATAGATGTTAGCTCAGAGCTGGTCTTCCTCAGCAAAAAGAAGAGGATTGGCATGGATGTTAGCTCAGGGCTGATCTTCCTCACACACACACCAAAAAAACCTACAAAAGACATTCCTGCAACAACTAGAGAAATGTGAATATGGACTGGATATTAGATGATATTACAAAATTACTATTAATTTTCTTAGATGTGATAAAAGGGACTGTGGTTATGTAGGCAGTTACCCTTTCTTTCCAGGAGATGAATGCTGAAGAGAGAGAGGGAGTATGTGTGTGCGCGTTTGTGTGCGTGTATATACTATATATATATAAAAATAAAAATTTTTTAATTTATTTATTTTATAGGGATTAAAGCAAATACAGTAAAATGTTAACAATTATTGTATCTAGGAAGAGGGTAAACGGGTGTTCATTGTGCTGGTCTTTTCTGTACATCTGAAATATTTCAAAACAGAAACTAGGGGGCAGGATAGACAAAAAAATTCATTGCAGAGAGGTTGATATGGTGTGTTCTGTTGTGTCCTGCCTGGACCTTTCAGATTGAGAATGTGATCTCTGAAAAAAAATCTCACCACAGATACACACACACGTCTTTATGTATATTCTTTATTTCCATCTAACAGCCAATGCTATTATTAGCTAAGAGTCTTCAACATGCAATATTCCAACTGGTTATTTAGTCTGTAAGCAAAGGCTTTAATGCTGTAGTGTTACAAAAGACAGCTCAATCACAAGGTTAAACTTGAGATCAGGCTCACTGCCACCAGTTTGTGTAATGCGTAGATTGAGACAGTCTGTCAAACAATTTCAGATTTTACTTTATATATCACTTGTTGAAAGTATCCTGCAATAGATCTTGCCTATTCCTGGCAACTTCAGACACAAAGGTTTTCTACTTTCCAACCTGTTGCTACTTCCGAAGTCATCAGGGCAACTTCACCCTAAAGTCCAAAGACACATTCACCCCCCAGGTAATTAGAATTAAAAACAGAAAATCATTAGCAGAGATCATTGGATATGGTATAGCATGAACTAAATAAAAGTATTAAATTTATATTATTTATAGATAAATAACTAAAACAAGATTTTAACAAAAACAAAACCAAAAAAACTAGATATGGAATCTTACATGTATACCTATGGTTGATGAAAAGAAAGTCAGCTACTGACAATCATGACCTTTCTTTCAAACTATGGTTTGAAATGTCATATAACCTGGAAACAAAGAGGCACCTTGAAGGAAAGAATGAAAATGACTAGATAATTTTAGGCACTCAACTAAAAATTGGTACAATCAGGGCTTAGGTTTTAAAGACTTTATTTATTTTATTTTTCCCCCCAAAGCCCCAGTGGATAGTTGTGTGTCGTAGCTGCACATCCTTCTAGTTGCTGTATGTGGGACTCGGCCTCAGGATGAACGGAGAAGTGGTGCCTCGATGCGCACCCGGGATCCGAACCCGGGCCGCCAGCATCGCAGCGCGCACACTTAACCACCAAGCCACAGGGCCGGCCCAGAGCTTAGGTTTTATAGTTGAGTGTTCTCTGGCATAAAGGAACAAGAGTCAAGTATGAAACTACCTTAGTGAAGACAAGTCAGCACATGGATTCAATAAAGTAATTAATTACATTTGTCTCATTTCAGATGCAATTAAAAAAGGAAATGATATTTACCAGGGTTTGTCTTCTCAAGCTGATACCATCGGTAAAATGCTCTTTTCTTCTGTTCACTCAGGTCTGATCCCTGCTGCAACAGCCAGTGAGATATCCGGCTCTGACTGATACCTACGTAGAAAGAGAAATAACTGTTGTAGGTATTGAAATTACAGGGAAGTTAACGAGGGGTCTGTTGATTCTAGGTTACTGGGTGCTTTATTCTCTGTGTTGCTCTATAAGGAAGCTGCAACTTGAGCAAACTCTTTCATATTGGGCTTCTTTGTAAAGACTGACTACACTGGCTGGAATATATTCAGAAATGACCTATTAAAGGTCAAAATATTTTATTAACCAAGACTTGAAAGTGGTCTCTAAAACTACTCTCTAAACCAGGTCCATGAATATGAGATAAATAAAGAGATTCCTAAGTAACAGTTATTTTTCAGAAGTTGATTAGATTTGTGCTCCTTCAACCACTATCACATCCACCCTAATCCTGGTTTAGAATATTAGAACGTTATCAGATATTGAGAAGAAGGAAAAAAAAAAAATCAAGCCAGCAAGTTTTGCTATTCATTATTGATACTGATAAAAAGATTAAGAACATTGAAAATACTCTCTTCAATAAGGTTTCTCGCTTATTTGTTAATTCATTTAGGCATTTTCACATTCATTACCATTAGTACAGATAGCTAAGAACTGGAAGACTTTTAGAATTATACTGCAATATGACCTCTTGAAATCTCAAGAGGTAAAGATGTTCTTCTAACACAAAGACTTATCAAAAACCGAATAGAATATAAAGCAGTAGTTTTCAGCTATCACTAAGAAGTTCTTGACAGCAATTAATTAGAAATGTGAAAAATCTCCACGCGTGAAAGTAAAAAAGCATGTCTAAAACATACTAGTATGAGAATCACATGCTCCTTCTGGTCATTATAGCTATTCCAAAAATGAATAATTCAACATACAACTGGCAAAAACAAAGAATAATAGGAAAGATAAAACTATCTTATATGCCCATAAGGTACTTTGCAAAAGACCATTCAGTTATCATAGAAGGTTAACAGATTCTCAACTCTCCCAAGGAATTACTTATGGTAACTGGATAGTACTGCAAACCACCTGTGCCAACACCTGTTTAAAGCTATAATACACAACAGGAAGAGTGGTTATCATGAAGTAATCACACCCTCTAATATGAGAAGAAGGAGGAGGTTTGGTGATCACGTTTAACTCACTAAAAACAAGCCCCTAGATTTTCACACTTCTGAAAACCTATGTTAAAAGAAAATTTGAGCAAATAGGGAAGGGGGAGTTTTGTTAAAAGAAAGATTGGACTGCGAAGCAAGGTTCTTTGATTGGAAACACTTTTCACTTTCAAAGGGTGAAATTCAAACAGTTTTCCAAAACCTAAAATGATTACATTCTCAAGTAATTCACAGCAGTTTTCCAATGGATTGAAGATCTATGTGATACAGGTGCTGGCAGCTAGCACTGTATGCTTGTGCAAACATCCATCAACAGGAGAACGCATAAATTCTGATACTTATGCATTCTACTACAGACTACTATATTAAATAGAAAAAGGATAAACTACTGCTATATGTAACCACGTGGATAAATCTCACAAAAATAATGTTGGCCAAAAAAGGTCAGACACACACCTAAAAAGGCCACACACAACTGTATGATTCAATTTATATACAGTTAACAAACAGACACAACTTATCTATATGGATGGCAATCAGAACAGCAGTTACCATATGGTTAGGAGGGAGGAGGTTAATTACTGGGAGGCAGTCGGAGGAAGGCTTATGTAGATGAGCATTGTTCTTGATCTTGATCTGGATGGTGGTTGTATGTTTGTCTTCACTTTGTAAAAGTCATTAACTTGGATACTTTTCTTTGTATATGTTATATTTCAATAAAAAAAAGATTCCCCCAAAAAGTTTTTAAAATTCTATGTTGTGTTTAAAAACATAAATGGATATATATCAATATGGAAAGATGCTCACGATATAAATGAAAAGTATACAGTTTTACAAATATATATATTTCTACATAATCTACGTTCCATTTTGTATAGTAATAAAAGCTTATATATAGCCAAAGACACACAATATGAATTTAGAGTGGCAGACTCTTCCTATATTATATACCTCTATATGGTTTTCTTAATCTTTCTACAAATATATATTAATTTATTTTATTTTTAGCCTTTCCCTATAAACACTACATACTTTATTGGTTGTTTTATAAACACTGTAATTAAGTTAAACAACAAAGTAGTGCTAAAGGAGTTAATTTCAGCCTTCCCTCACCAATTCCCCTCTGAGGTAAGTGATGTTAACTGTTAAAATATGTTGTTCCACAATTTTCTCTATGCATAATTACTAATTTAATAAAACAAAGGAAGAGAAGTTATAAAGAATATCCTCCTATCTAGTCTTTTGTGTAAGAAGGAAATAAACAAAGAACTTCTTCCCTGTAAATTTAATCTCAGTTTTCATATAATATAGAAACCAAAGTAATAAAGCAGGTAGTTTTTCCAGAAGAGGCACTATAAAAATTAAATATGTACAGTAACACATTTTATAACGATTTTTCTTAGTTAGCAGCTTACTGATAAATAAGGTTTATTTAACTCATTCTTCTGGGGTTGGTCCATGCCTTTGGAACTTCAGTTGAGCTAGGTGTCAAAAGGCCTGGCACCTTCTCTTTACTGTTGGCTTTGTTGCTTCTCCCTAGGAGAAAATTTCTCTTACTCTCTACTTACTTCCCAAAGCTGAAAAAAATGTCATTCTCCACAAGTTTTAGCTCCTCAAAACCTCTTTTTTACGTTTCACAAGGCAGAAGAAAAGAAAATTTACATATAACCTTCATACACTTAGGGACTAAAACAAACCCTGATTAATTTCTTTTCAATACGAAAGTCACTGCACTGTATTCAAAGGATGAAAAAGCCTTTTTTCTTTTCTGGGCTTCAGTTCTATCAGGCTCCTTTCACTTCCTCAAACGCCATGCTCCCTTCCACTAGAGGGCTCTCCACCACAACTCATTCTTGTCAAAGTCCCTAGTACTACAAATTTAAATGTTTCCTCTTCCTTCCAAATTCTGTGGAGTGTGACACAACTGACCACTGACATCATCTCCATCCTTGGAAGCTGGATACAACTCTCCAACGCAACTTTTCAGTAGGCTTCAGGGATTGCTTTGCTAGCTCCTTACGTGTTAGTGTGCCCAAGGTTCCATCTTTAAGCATCTTCTCTCACTCTCTACACTCTTCCTTTGGTTATCTCAACTATCAACAGACGTGATTTAAAATACCTAAATGCCAATGACTTCCAGGGCACCAGACTGTTCTTTCAAACCATCTGCTAGATAGCTTCATGAGAATTTCCCACAGGTCTTCAACATAGCAAATTTAATTCATTACCCTCTTCCTTTAAGTCTGCTCTTCTTTCTGTGTCCCCTATCTCAACTGTTTCTTCCAGTCTACTCTCTTCCCCAACTCTCACATGCTTACTAAATCCAATCACTTTCTCTCTTCTAAAATTCTCTTCATGTTCTCTCCAATCCTCATTCCTGCAGTTTGGAATCTCAGCCTCTTTTGCCTGGACAATTGAAGCAACTCTGATGAAAACAAGCCACCTAAGATCCACAAAGTACAAAATCCTCATGATCAGATCTTTTCTAATTAGAAGATCATTTCACAGTGGAAAAAGTGAAACGTGCTTGAACTGCAGTTGTCTCTACTATACACCTTCCACAGTACGACCAGAGTCAGGTCTCAAAATTAAGTTAAAATACATGCATGCACTCTCCACAAAAATAACTCACAAACACGCAGAAGAAAAAAAAGTCCTTCCTCCACCTTCAACCCCTTTCTTATTTCCTATCCTAGAGGTATCCTTGTTTGTTTGGTGTGCATCCTTCCAGACTCTTTCCTATGCATTTAAAACATAAACATGTACATATATATACATCTAGATTAAAAAAAAAAAACATATTTGGAGTTCTTCTATACACAGTAACTTAACATTTCTCACATACCATTTCCATGTGGTATATTATGAATCTTCACCATTCTAATGGCCACATGGTTTTCAATACCATAAATATACCCTACTTAAACATTTACCTATTATTAGACATTTCAATTGTTGCTCATGTTTTACTGTTATAAATGATGATATAATGAACACTCTATGCATATTTTTGTGCATATGAACAAGTATTTTAGGGCCGATTCACAGGAATGGAATTTTTGATTCACAGTATATGAGTAGCATTTAAGTTTGTGATAGACACTACCAGATTGTCCCTCAAAGAAGGTTACACCCAATTTTATACTCTAATCAATAGCGATGAGAATGTTCCCTATTATAAAACTTATTTTGAAAGTCTGGTTTTCTTTTTATAAACAGAGTACATGCCCATTATAAAAAAGAATTCTAAGCAATTCAGAGGAAAGTAGAAAGATAAAGAGGAAAGCTAACAAAAAAAAAACCCCAAATTCTTACCACTTAGAAATAACTACACTCCTTACAAGATCACTCCAAGCATATGTAGATATAGAATAGGCAGAAATAATTACTAAAATGACGACATACTATAGACAAAATTTTAAAATGTAAAAACATAAAATTTAGTTTGATTTTAACACAAGAAAAACATTTTTAATAAACTACAATGAAAATAAAGATCTACTCAAGTTTAGTAAATGCTTCTAGAGGGAGAATGAGGTTCCTAAAAGAGTGCACTAAAGCAAGGAAAAAGGATTATACAAATACATTAGGAGGTTGGAAGCACGATTTTCTAACTTGTGAGCAGTTATTCTATACATACATGGCTCTTGGCTAAAAAAGGTGATGAAACTATAGCAGACTGTGGGAGCCAGCCTTCAAGCTGACCCCTAATGGTCCTCTGCATCTTTCTACCTTTTTGTAATCCCTCCAACACTGCTTCAGGGTTGGTTTGTGCAACCAAGAGAATATGGCACAAATGACAGTTTATGACTTCCGAGGCTAGGTCATGAAAGACATTACAGCTTCTGCCTTGCTCTCTCTCTCAGATAGTTGGTTCTGAGGGAAGCTAGCTGCCATGTTGTGAGACCACTCAACTAG